AAGTCAGGATCAAATACAGGTTTATTCTGTATTGTTTCCTTTATTCCATTATTTGATACGTCTAAACAACACTTACATGTTTACTTAAGGTGTCAGAATATATCTACTCATACCTCCCCCTCCCCCCTCCTAACCTCTCACTACCTTCCATTTATAAAAAAAAATATCCTTTGAAGCTTTTCTGAACTTTTTATTATTTAAATCTTAGGTTCCATGACATCCAATTCTTTTTTCATAATCTTGGCCTTTCTATTGTCATATTATCTGAAAATAGAAATAAATTGAGAATATTAAATAAAATACAAACTTATCAGCATGTCCCTCTTTTAGGTATAAAATCAATTTGCTAAATTTTGTTTAAGGAATTTTTAATTGTGAGTATAGTCAGATCATAGTTAAGTCTTAAGATGATGGAAAATGAACTAAATTACATTTTTACTAATACAAAATAAAAGTTTAAATGAATTAGGCTTAAATCGGAAATCCGTGTTTCCGCGTTTTGCTAATTCTTATTTTTGGTGGAAATTTTATTTTTAAACAATTTTGGCTAAATATCAGTTTAAATAAAAAAGTGAAAATATAAAAATATTCAACAAAAGTTTTAAAGAGCAAACCTTAGGAAAAAATTTTAACAAAGAAAATACTTAGTAATCATTAGTAGGACATTTTTATTTCTGATCAGTACGTTTAATAAAGGTAAAACATACTCAAGGATATCTCACTCATTTATGTTTATTTTTTAAGTGTTTCTTCAGGTAACTTGCTGTAGATGCAGTAAACTTACATTCAGGACAAGGATATCTCACTCATTTATGTTTATTTTTTACATGTTTCTTTAGTTGATTTACTCTAGTTGAAGAAAACTCACATTCAAGACAAAAATATCTCACACCTTCATGTTTACATTCCACACGCATTTTCAGGTTACCGGCTGAAGTTGCAGCATGCTCACATAGAGAGCAAGGATATCTCACTCCTTCATGTTTTCTTTCAACATGTCTTCAAGTCACTCGATGTAGTTGCAGCATAATCACATTGAGAGCATGGATATCTCACTCCTTCATGTTTACTTTCAACATGTTTCTTCAGAGCATTTGGCGTAGTTGCAGAATATTTACATTGAGAACATGGATATCTAACTCCTTCATGTTTACTTTTGATGTGGTATTTTAGATTACCTGCTTGAGTTGCAACATACTCACACTGATTACAAGTGAAATCCACTTTACGCTTCTTGTTTCGCCTTGGTTTTGCTTTAAAATTTTCAAATCTGTCATCCATGTTTTCACCTGAACAGCGAAAACATTATTTAATAATATTAAAAATGTTTTTTTTCTGCAAAACCAATATTAAAAAATAGAACCTGGTTACAAGATAGAACCATGAGGATCAGAATAGGAACCACCCTAAGTAGACAGATAAAAATGGAATCAGGAGTACCACAAGGATCAGTGCTGGCACCAGAGGCATCGAATTATAACACAGGAGATATACCCACCACATTAACAGCACACAGCGACACAGCAGTATATGCAGAATACACCTCATCAGCAACAACTCACAGAGACATTGACAAACTAATAGAACTGGCCCAAAAAGAAATATGGCAACTATCTGACTGGACAAAGAAAAAGAGAATCAAATTTGAGCCAACAAAAACGCATGTGCTATCGATACACAGCAAACCAGAGAAAAGAAGAGATATAAAGAACAACACACTGTTTTTGACAGAGAGAAAAAAGAAAAACTAGAATACACTGTTCATGCTAAGCTATTAGGAATAACATTCTAAGAAACAGGTACATTCCACAAACATATAGTGGACAAACTTAAAACCTGCTATGGTAGAGTCAAACAACTCTACAGATTTGCAAAACATGTAAAAGGAGACACAATATACAAAGTATATAAGACATCATTAGAACCTATCATAGGTTAAGGCACTGAAATACTGTGGGAAAATTTCTCTTGCAATACAATAAAAAAACTAAATGCGCTAGAATTTACAGCAATTAAAACAAGCTATGGACTGGATAGACAAACACCGACAATTGATTGTCTTGATTATTTGCAGGACGGAGGAATTGCAGACAGACTGGAAAAAAGAAGACACAACTTTATGGAAAACAACAAAGATTCCATATTGATAAAACATCATATACTCGGAAGGGAGAAGAATAAGAGTAAGAAATACTCACAGAGACATAGCACTTAGGAAATTAGGATGGAAAACCAATCTACACCTGCACAAAGAGCACAAATTTTTCTCCAACGACTTTAAAGAAAACATCCAAGAAGAAGACAACGATATAACAAAAGAAAACGACGAAGAAGACAATGATAACAAAAAAGAAAACACCAACAACGAAAAAAGAAACATCAACGATAAAAAAAGAAAAAACCTCAACACTGCGCAAAGAAACTCAGCCTTCCAGGAAGGAAACACAGCCAAATTTCCAACCAGATTCCCCAATCAGGAGATACCTCATGTAAGGTTCAGATGCAGACCTGGACATGAGAAAGGAGTGCAGTTTGATCCTGGATGAAGAAACACAAGCTCCTGAATGAACTGATGACGACCAAAAGTTCCTTTCCCCAGCTAAGCCTCCATTGGCACATCACTCATGAATGGAGGGAAGGCTGGGGTTTTTCGGAAAAAACACCCTACCCTAGAAACCAGAAGTCGTCCTAAGGACGTCATGAAGACATGAATAATTACCAGTGGGATGTCTAAAGACGTCATATCTTATGTGTTGAGGACGTTTAACGCAAGGATTCTTACGTCCTCACAACCTAATTTTCGAAGTCAAAATGACGTCACTTTGGACGTCCAAATGACCAAACTTTTGATGTCCAAATGACCAAACTTTTGACATCCAAATGACTAAACTAGTCATTTATTTAACCAATTTATGAACCACTGAGCAGAGCCTAATTTATTCTAGTTGTACTGCTACAATGTAACCCTCCCCCCTGGTATTACATTCACACCATAACTGTCCTTCTATTGTTGCTAGCCCTACCCCCAACCCACTCTGCATTACCTCTAAAGGCACGCAACTTCACACTTTGTTAGAGGGGGTCAAATATTTCGCGCAAAGCTCGAAAAAAATTTTGGTTTCCCCACCCATTCTTACATAGGTAACTAAAGGCACTTACATAGGTAACTAAAGGCACGCAACTAGACATTTCGTTAGAGGGGGTCAAGATGAAAAAATTTTGCGTTAATCGCGAAAAAAATTTGTATGCCCCCCCCCCTTAACATTTTAGGGGGGGGGGGAAATTTAAGCTAATTTTGCTTGTGGATTTATTTTTCTATAAACACATATACTTTTCTCATTGTAAACATTGATTTTTAAGAAAAACTGATTAATGTAAAATGAACTGTAAATATAAGTTTCTTTTTTATTTGATATCTTCTTTTGATATCTATCTTTCTGTTTTTCCATGCTGTTTAACAGCTTGATTTAAATCAAAATTAAAATCAAAGGTCGTCATCAATGTATTGATATAATCGCCTACCACTGTAAAATACCGCATATCTATACGAATAAGTTTCACCAACTAACTGCTTCTAGCCCAGAAATCTCTATTCTAAATGCTGCTTTAATATACAAACTAAACATTGATAGAAAGAAATTCTAAAAGCAAAAACTAAAAAAAATAGTAAAAATTTAGTTTTTACAGAGAGATTCAAAATACTAGATTTCCCCTAACAATTATAACAAACATTTAAGAATTTGGCACATCCGAAAGTTCTCCCCAACCCCCCACACCTTTCTAAAACATGACAGTTGCGCCTCGTTTATGTCTTTTTAATAAACTACTGTTTACCTTGTATTTCTGTATTTTCCCGCTTTATATCATTTTCAGGAATATTGACAAAACATGTTTCCTCTACAGTA